CATCGCGGCCATCGCCTCTTTCAGCCACCCCGGCGGCGGTACGAAATCGGCGTCGAAAACCGCCACGTAAGGCGCATCGTCGAGTGCGAGTCCGGCCGCGAGGGCGCCGGCCTTGAAGCCCCCGCGATCGCTGCGGCGGACATGGTGCGCGTCGATGCCGGCCTTGCGCAGGCGCTCGATGGCATGCGCGGCGATGTCGGTGGTGATGTCGTTGCTGTCGTCGAGGAGCTGGATGGTCAGCCGGTCATGTGGCCAGTCGAGCGCGCCCATCGCCGCCATCGAGCGCTCCACGACCAGCGGCTCGTTGTAGACCGGGACCTGCACCAGCACGCGAGGCAACTCCGCCGGCAGGGCGGGCGCGGGCTTCTCCTCCCGCGGCAGCTCGAACAGCCAATAGACCAGGTAGAGGAAATAGGCCGCGATCGCGACCTGAGCGGCGAGGCACAGGAGGACGAGCAGGTCGATCAGGAAGAGCAGCATGGGCCGCCGCTCTCAGTGATAGTGAATGGGAACTTCGAAGCAGCGGCCGTCCTCGATATGGAGGCGGCGCGAGGCGACGTCGAAGATGCGCTCGTCATGGGTCGACAGGACGACCGCGCACTTGGCGCGCATCGCGAGGTCCTTGAGCTGATCGACGACCAGCCGGCCCGACACGCGGTCGAGCGCCGAGGTCGGCTCGTCGGCGATGATGAGGTCGGGCAAACCGATCATGGTGCGCGCGATCGCCACGCGCTGCTGCTGGCCGCCCGACAGTTCGTCCGGCCAGGCGGATGCCTTGTCGCCCAGCCCCAGCATGGTGAGCAGATGGCGGGCACGCGGCTCGTCCCAAGCCGGATCGGCGAGCGGGGTCGTCGAGACGCCGGCGACGACGTTCTGCAGCGCCGTGAGCGACGACAGGAGGTTGCGCTTCTGGAACAGGAAGCGGATGCGGTTGCGCAGCTCGTCGAGGTCGGATCCGCCCAGGCCCACGATGTCCGTGCCGAGCAGGCGCAGCTTGCCCTCGGAGGGCTTGCGCATGGTGCCCAGGATGGTGAGCAGCGTCGTCTTGCCCGAGCCCGAGGGGCCGGTGACGATCACCAGTTCGCCCTCGCGGACCTGCATGTTGATGTCGAACAGCACGTCGACCCGCTGCGGACCCTCGCCGTAATGGTGATGGACGTCGACCGCCTCGACGACGGGCGGCCCGAAACCGTGTGTGTCGGTCGTCATGGTCACTCGAACAGCATGATGGGATCGACCCGCCACAGGCGGCGGATGGCGAACAGGCTGGAAACCACGGTCATGATCAGGCAGGCGACCAGCGCCACGACCATTTCGCGCAGGCCCATCGTCATGCCGAGATGCATCGCGGCCTCGGTCGCGCCGTAGACGAACCGCCCCAGCGTGAAGGCCACGAGGAAAGGCCGGCGTGATGATGGCCGCGCCGATCTGGCCGATCATGAACAGGAAGAACCACCAGTCGTAGCCCAGGCTCTTCAGGATGGCGTATTCCGGCAGGTAGAAGCGGATGATCTGGTACTGGGCGTAATAGATGAAGACCATGCCGATCATCACGCCCATCACGAAACCCAGGTCCGTGATGTAGCCGACCGGCGTCTCGCGCGACCAGTAGATCCGCTCGCGCTTCTCGAAGTCGCGCAGGGTCAGCACCTCGCCACGCCCCGCGAGGGATGTGTTGAGTTCCTTGCGAACCGCGTCGACGTCGGAGCCTTTGGCCAGCTGGATGGCGATGAAGGCCGGCCGATCCGACCACCACGAGCCGAAAACCTCGGCCATCGTCTCTTCCGACATGATGATCGAGCCGTCGTTCAGCACGTTCGGGCCGAGCGCAAAGGTGCCGACGACGAAGAGCTGGCGGAGCAGGCCGCGATTGTCGGGCGGACCCAGGACCTGGAACTCCGGCTTGCCGGGACCGACCTGATCGGCGAGTTCGCCGAAGTAAGGGACGGGATTCACGGTCGTAGAGCAGCCGGCGCGCCTCGCGCAGACGGTAGAGATTGTCCC